AGCTGCTGGCAGGAATTCTAGAGCTCCGTGTGTTTTCTGATAGATGATGGCTGACCTGATGTTTAGAAAACAGAAGTACGAAGCTGCCATCAATCTCTACCACCAAGTCCTGGAGAAAGTGCCAGGTAGCTGCCTGCATGGAGCCTGCCCACTGAGGCTGCCTCTGTCAGCTCCCAACCAAGCAAGCGCTGCTCTCCCCAGAAGGGTGGGCCCCCTCCCCTCCTTCCTGACCGGGCAGAGGAAGCCCCTTCCTCTCTGATTGTTCCCAGAGAGGCAGGAAACTGATAAAGCCCCGATGGAACGTGCTGGTCCTTCCCGAGTCCAAGGGGCCAGTTCCAGGTCTCAGGCAGGGCAGTGCTTGGCACCGGACCCAGGACAGCCTGTCTGTCCCTAAGTCACAGACACTGGGGATCAACATAAGTCCCCTTCTGAGGTCACAGCCACCTGGAAGTGGCTAGAACTTCTCCCCTGGTATGTAGCTCCATTGCCTCTCACTACGGCACATACCCCTCCCCCCCTCCTGGCTGGAGAAGGCGCCAGACACAGCAGGCCCACAGCGGTCTGCCCGGAGGCCCAGCAGATCATAGCTGTTAGGAGTGTGGGTCCTGGAGCCAGAATGTCTAGGTCTGAATCCTGGCCTTCCACTTGTCAGCTTGTGTAACCTTTGGCAGATTTCTCAGCTTCTTTGTGTCTCATTTCTTCATCTGTAAAATGGGAACAATAAGAGTAACTGCTTCGTTGTGTGGTTAATATACAGGTGAAACACTTAATGCCGGGGGTCAGTGTAACTGTTAGCTGCTCTTATTACTACATCTAAGCATCATTATCGCTATTCTCTCAACACTGGAGACCAGTGGAGACACTGAAGCTGCTGGAATGTCCCTGCTCAGCCCAGATGGGGGAGGTGTCTCCTGGTCCTCCCTGCTTTTCCCAGCCTGGAGATCTCCACTCTCTTATTTTAGACAATTTTTCTGTACTGAATAAACTAATTGATCTGCTACGAAGAAGTGGGAAACTCGAAGACGCCCCTGCCTTCTTTGAATCGGCCAAGAAGTTGTCCAGCCGAGTGCCTTTGGAGCCGGGGTTCAACTACTGCACAGGCATCTACTGCTGGTGAGTGGGGGGCAGGTGTGCCGGGCAGGTAAGGCCCGGAGGCTTTCTCCCTCACAGGCTCGCTGGCTGGACCTTTGCCCAGCACGGGGAAGCAGAAATTCAGCTTCCAGAGCGGAGAGCGGGGAGACCAGCGATCCAGCCCCTGCTCTGTGCAGACGTGGGGTGGCCCCTGTGTGTCCCCACACTCCCCAGGTCTCTGTTTTTCCCATCTTATCTTTGGTGTTTCTCTCCTCCACTGCAGGCACATAGGGCAGGCCAATGAAGCTCTGAGGTTCCTAAACAAAGCTCGCAAGGACAGCACTTGGGGCCAGAGCGCCACCTACTACATGGTGCAAATCTGTCTGAACCCAGACAACGAGATAGTGGGAGGAGAGGCTTTCCACAGCCTT